CATCCCTTTCATTGTTACGCGTCCTGTCGCAAATTCAGTAATCCATTTTTCCTAGAATTTTTATCACCTGTCCCTAACTACATCATCCTATAATCCTTATATTTCCAAGAAATTCGCACTACCTGTATCCAGTTTAAATTCTTCGTATCATGCAATTTATCAACCAATACCTGATCGGTTGATAAATGTAATAACCACTGATTGGTTCCAAAATTGTAATGGGGTGTCCTTAACTCCACAAAATGGGCCAATCAGAAAAATATATAAAATTATAAAATCTACATAATTTAGTATCAACCTAAATTTCACATAGCTAAGATCAGTCGTAAATTAACACTCAAAACTATAACATGTAATTCAAACTTCAACTATCTAATCATCTATAAGTCTTAATATTCTTTAAATATATAATAATCAAACAGTTATTCATCATCTTTTATTCATATTATCTTTTCAAACGGTCTGATATAGCCAACAGCTAAGTATATCTGGTCCTTCGGCAAAGTGCAAGTGTTCAATAGAGTTCGGCAGCATCCAGATAGATCACGAACTTCTTAAACACTTTTGAACCTATCTCAACAAATACTTTTTTGGCCATTCAAACCGAATGGTCATTTTATTAAACACTAGAAGTACCTCTTATGCCTCCAAAAATGTCCAGTATCTGTGAAGGACGAATTGTTTACTAAATCATCTTATATATATAACTTAAATTAGTTATAAACATTTATCAGAGCTTTATGTAAGCCGACTAAATCATATTTTACATGATTTTTTATTATTACCAAAGCATGGACTCAATACAATTAATAATATAAAATTTAATAAGATAAAGAAGCCAATTTTCCGACTAAAATAGTTATGTTGCCGGGTCCTGTTGTTGAATAATACCAAGAGTTGGTAGTCACAAACGATCAGTGAGTAAATATGAGACTTAATACTGATATTTAATTCTGTTTGATTTGGATTTGGACAGAAAAACATTTAGTAATTCCCATGTCAGAGTTTAATTCAATTACAAAATGGTTATTCAAATTAAGAACCAGTAATCTTCTGCTGTTCCGCAATCTGCTTGTACCAGCTTTCCAACTAATTCGTCTGCACAACGTAGAACCTTACAACCTACAACCATCAACATTTTCCGACTGTAATTAGTTTTCGCGTCCATTGTTTCTTGTATCTCTACACTACGAGGAGACGTGAGCTAGAAGAATCTAGCGCGGTAATGAAAATGGAAGGAAAACTTAATGCTTTCGCCTGAAACCTTGTCTGGGATCATAGAGTGAGGGTGCGCGACAGCCACTGGTATAATCAGCAAAAAAAACTATTTTTTTTTTTACATTTCTTAGTGTTAGTTATTATTTTTGACACAAAATTATACAAATGCCATACTGTTAATCAAAACTCTAAAAACATCTGATATAAATTTGACCAACAAATAATTTTCTATCAAATGAAAATGTTCGTCAGATGTTAACCAAAAGTTAGGGTTGGTTATTAAACTGTATTAACTTCTAAAACTATTTAGACATAAGTGGCATTTTGGCTCAAATTTAACTTCATGATTTGTTTAAATCTTGTAATATTTTTTCATGAATTACGCAAAATGAATGGTTTTATCTACACAAGAAAAACGTTTTTTGAATCATTCAAATCGGATGCTTCGTTCTCTCAAAAACTGCAATATTCTACACATCTGAATCCATTTCTTCGAAACGCTGGACCTGTCTTTGCCAAAAACGAATCACCACTAACCCCATCATTACGAATTAATTTTTTTTTCAGATGGAGCTATCGTGATCTTTTGTAATTGCCTACAATTGTACCAGTGATCTCATTGTATAGATCGCTATAATAAATAAACCAAAAAAAGGAGAATTTTGACGCAGCTCATAATTTTATAATTAAAATTGAATTAAAAATTGGTGAACTTTTTATAATTTTTAAAGAAAGGGGTCAGCGGCTATTTTTGCAAAATTAACCAATCTTAAATATTTTCATCAAATGGATTTTACAACGGTCGATGTAGCCGTTTCTGAGAAATCGTTTTACAAACACATACACACATTAGTTTTTAACTTCCCGGAAAATCGAAAATCGAAAATGAAAATTTTTGCATTTCTCGACATTTTGAAGGTTTCTGAACATTTTGGCATACCTCAGAAAAAATGGATGTGTGTATGAGTTTTTCGTCCGCATTTTTTTGTCCAAGTTTTCGGGCGCCCGGATCAACCGATTTGAATGGTTCAAAAAACATTCTATTTCTATTGATAGGGAGAAGACCTGATTAGTTTTTAGCAAAGGCAGGTCCAACCGTTTCGGAGATACGGAGCAAAGAGTACGGAAAATTCAAATCAAGTTTTTGAGAGAACAGAGTATCCGATTTGAATGATCTAAAAAACATTCAATTCGTCATGACGTGGTGATTAGTTTTTGGCAAAGGCAGGTCCTGCGGTTTCGGAAATACAGAGTTAAATGTGCAAAATTGGCAGTTTTTGAGAGAACTAAGCGTGCGATTTGAATTATTAAAGAACTTTCTGCTTGTTTTAACAAAATAATTGCTTTCGAAAAACAAACCGTTTCAATTTTTTTTTCAATTTTTTTTTCAAAAAATTTTTTTTGTGCATCGAAAATAATTCAGATTTTTATTGTATTCTGACTTAAGTTCTGATATACTTTAAACAAATATTTTCAACTTTGCAATTCAGTTTATATAATTCTGATAAATATTAGACAATGTTACAGTATTTCTTCATAATAATCTATTTGAAAACATTTAACATTCCTTGATCATTTCGTTACGGTACGAGAAGTTCCAGCAATTGGCCTTAAAGCACGATGCCATACACACCACTAGTTCTACTTTGCAGCCAAACATATCGAAACGACTTTAAACGTCGAGAAAACATAAAATTAGACAGTCGGACATTCTGAGAAAATCAAAATTTTCCTTCAACAGATTAAAAATAGCTATTGTATTATATTTTTATAGATATTACAACAATAATCTTACAGTCAGTATAAAAATAATTGAAAATTCATAATGATTAAAATATTCATATCGAAGACATAAGGTTTTGTATTTTTGAAAATTTATAAATTTTATAGAAGTTGTAAAATGACAATTTTCCTTTTATCTACTTCTGGTTTCTGAACTAATAAACAATATCTATTCAGTTAATAATAATATTATTATTTATACCAGCTTCGATTCTATGTTGTAAATAAATTATTTATAGCTTTTTTCAGAAATTTGTGTGTGCTTGGTAAATAACATAATTACTTTATAATAGTAACTACTATACAACTATTTTTAGAATAGTTGAAAAGTTTTAATAGTAAAGTAAACCGTAAAATTGTAACTACCACTTTGGTAATACCTTATAATAGCTTCCACATAAAGATTATACAAAAACTTTATTTTTCGATTTAAGTCCACCGGCAGAGGCGTATTTCTCTATAGACTCGAAACAATTTATTGCTCAACATAAAATAGGTATAATATTTTATGACTCTATGTCGTTGTCCTCCATCTAAGACTCACATTCTTTAAGAAAACTATGTGTGAAAAATCCCGCAAGGAAAAACCCTATACGTCGTGGCTGCCGCTTGCGACTAACCAGGCGGGAAATTGTGTTATGCGGATTTTATTTTTCCTTACTTTTTGTTTAAAAATAACAAAGATAATTTTCTCAGAGTTGGCAACGCCATCCTTTTAGGGGAGATTTGCGTCGAATTTACCATTTTTATTATTTTGCAATTTCTAATTTTTAGTCTTGCTCAATTTATTTCATACTAGAAGATATGAATTATGAAATTGAGTATATAAGTATAATTAAGTTTTGAAAATAGCTTACACAACTTTAAGCTTCTGTCTAGACTTGCTTTTGCAAAAATTTAATCAATTCTTCATTACGTCAATACAAATGAAATATTTTTTGAATTATTCAAATCGTATGCTTCGTTTTCCCAATAATTCAATTGCCATTTTCTGCATTCTTTGCTCTATATCTTCAAAACGGCTGGACCTGCCTTTTCCAAAAACTAATCAGCTTTTATATAAAATAATTTTCAACACTAATTTAAGATCGGATACTTTGTCGAGATAAATAATAAGTTTGTTATTTAAAACAATGTGATGCTTTTATAGTATTTTCAAACTTCGAAACGTTTTCGAAAAATAATATTGTTTAATTGTAATAAGAAGCAAATATTTAGTAATTATCATAATTATTATATATAAAGTTAGAAAAAAATAAAGATTACGCAGAAGTAATCTGTATGATTTAAAATATTTTGGCGCAAATATCACTTAAAAAATCGTTACATTTTTACATAAGATGAAACAAACATCATTATCTATCAGTCGAATTCTATTTATTGTAACACGATATGAAGCCCTTAGTAAAGCAATAAATATTCAGTTTAATGACGAGTTGAGATAATATTTGACATTTGATTATCCTATAGAATCACTTGAAGATATAACTGTTTATATGATTATGGAATTTAAAGATAAATTTGTTCCGAGAAATTTAAACTTTAGTGTATTATGTATCAAATAGCGCTTATGTAAAAGTACCGAAAAGACCGGTATTTTTGTGGTAAATATCGGTAAAAATACCGCCAAAAAATCGGGCGGTTTACCGATAATTCGGTAATTTCGTAAAAGTGTGTCGCCGCACTGGCGTCCGCGATGCGCATCTGAAAAGTTCTGAAAATTATCAGGTTTTGAAGCAAATTGTCACTAGGAATGTCAAATGGCATGTAAAAAATACAATGCACGCAATTTCCCTTGAAACAAAAAGACGAACCTGCTCAAAACAGGTGCAAAGCTGAAATTTGCCAGAAAAAGGTGATGCAGTATGTTTGGTAAGATTTTAAAGGAGTTGTTTATTTTTCAGTTTTTACAGGATAACATAAAGATTAATTTGGATGCCTTATGTCATTAGCTGGATGAACTAAATGATATACTTCATTAGAAAGGGTCAGAATCAAACCGCAAGCAAGATATAGTCCTGCATCAAGACGCAAGACCTCACATAAGTTTGCTCGATTTCCAAAAGTTTTTGTAGCTTGAATGGAACCCAATGACACATTCATCATATTCTCGAGGCCTGCCAACATCGGACCAATAATTGTTCATGTCACTAAAATAATTTTTAGGCTGTAAAACCTTTACCTCAAATCGGCATGTCAAAAAGCACTTTGATCAGTTTTTTGCCAATAACGACCAAAAAATTTATGTTCTCGGAATTATGCTAATACCAGAAATATGACAAAATATGTTCGATTAAAACTGACATTACATAATTTATTAAAGTAATTAATAAAGTAAAAATTACATGCCAAAATGTCTATAAAAAACGAAATTACTTTCCGATTTTTATATAATATTTTCTTAAATATCTTTCTATTTTATTTAATAACTTAAATAATTTGTGAATAAAAGTTAAAGGTAGCAAATCGAGTATTTATATAAAATAATAGAAAGTGAAATAGGCCTTTGAGCGGCGTCGTTGTAATACATACCTCATTAGTATTATGTAGAAAATCTAAATAAAAAATAAAAAACACACCAAAAAAAGGTCTAATAATTGGTTGCATTCTAACAATACCAGTTTGTCATCATATAAAGGATCATATATTCAAAAGTAAAACTAGTGGCGCGCGCAAGGCAAATTGCTGGAACTTCCCGTACCAAAAAAATCTTAAAATTTTATTTTTTAAAAAGATTAACATTGTTGAAAAAGCTTTAATTTGAAAAAAAAATAGATCTTTGGAAAACTATAAATTTTTGATAAAAATATACTTTTTTGAAAAAAAAATTTAAATATATATATTTTCTTTATTTTGAAGTATTTTGGAAATTCTGAACTTTTTTTGCAAAGCAATCGAACTGCTTTCACTGCATAGATACGAGATATCAAAGCGCGTAAGCGCCGCGTCGCCGTCTAATAGATCAACATTGGTACGAAACCGATAGGAATGTAAACAAAATTTATACTTATTGTTAAAATCTCTATAAAATATCTGATGATCTGAAATTTGATGTGCATATGTCTAGTGATGATTTTTTTCACTAGATCTCCAAAACCGCTAGACCTGCCGTCATGAAACTTTGATCAATTCTTTATCTTGTCAATACAAGTAAAACTTTTTTGAATTATTAAAATCGGACGCTCCATTCTCTTAAAAACTGAGTTACCGTTTTTGGCACTTTTTGCCCCGTATCTTCGAAACGGCTGTACCTGCTTATGCCAATAACTAATCAGCACGTCTCCTCATAAACAGCAATCGAATGTTTTTTGAATAATCGAAATCGGTGGAACCGTGCTCCCGAAACCGTCGATGAAAATTTGTATCCGCGCACACACACACACTCATACACCCACATATACACACAAACACATACATCCATTTTTTCTAAGGTATGCCAAAATGTTCAGAAACGTCTGAAACATAAAGATATATAAAAATTTTCATTCTCAATTTTTTTGCGATTACTATAACTTGCCCTACGGGAAGTAAAAAATATATATTTGACAATGAAATGAAGGTAGCAGCTCCGTAGAACTGCAGACTTTGTAGTGCGAATGAATAATATTTCTATTATCATATTATGTGTGAAATGATGTCAACATATTAATTGAATGATAATAAAAATATCACGCAAAATAATCTAAAATATAATATTTTACCCGACTTTCCCTCGAGTTGGGTTATTGTATCGTCTCGGGATTTGCGCGTCTTCGGTTTAGTTGTTGGATAATATATTAAGTAAAGTGTACGCGAGCGTTGTTTCGCAACTGTTTTACATATATTAAAATTTATGTTCATTTAGGAATTTGCATGGAATTATATATCATCAAATCTGGATTTATAATAAAATATGAACTGCAAGAAATACGAACTCTTCAGGAGTTAGTTTATCGTGTAGTTGTTGAGATTTTACATAACAATTATGCGATGAATTCTTGAAGCTAGAATTCTCATTATTAGTTTGTAGTGATAATTGACATATAATGTACTACTTGTGGAAGAAAATATTCAGAATATGGAGACTGATAGCTTTTCAAGGTAAATTGCAGAAAAAAATGAAGCTAAAATATTGCTTAATCTTAAGGATTTAATTATGTATTATTATACTTATAAGCTATGAAAAAAAGTTTAAGCGAATGAAATAACTGTAATTAATAAACTAAATAAATTAAGTGAAAAGGCAATATACAAAGTTCAACAGTCAGATTATAATGCATTTTAATTAGTAAAGTTAAAAAAAACCTTTTGATTGAAGAAAAATGTCAAGCATAATGTATCTAAGCCTATCTCATAATAGTTAAATACCAAAATAATTAATTGAACTATAAATTGAACTGAGCTTAGAGTATTTTTTGGCATTTTATATGGATAGCACTAGCTGAAAGTTCAAAACTATCTGGCATATTGAAGATAATATAATAATTAGCTTAGCATTAGCATTGCAAATTAAATGAATTTTATTTTATTATTTAATATTTAATATATTATGATTACTAGTGATATTCATTTTTATTTCAGAAACTTTGAAATATAAATTGAAAAAAAAAACACTTCAATTACATTGTATAAAAATTCATTGTATTTGGCGGTATTTCTACTTAATTTATCATTCAAGAAGAGTAGTATATTAATAAGATCCATTATTGATAATCGTACGACTAAATTGCCTAAATGTCAATACGCACTAATAGAATCCGTCTGCAAAGTCTTAAATTATCTAGTAAGTGTCGTTTTATATTTGAACAACATTCAAAAATATGTGTTTTACAAGCCGTCAAAATATATATTTTTCAACCTACTTTTTTGAGTATATATCCCAGTGATTCTGGTTTTAGTAAAATTATATTAGATTTATTACTAGAAAGTATGTAAATGTGTGTATATTGCAACAATGCCCTGTTACTTACATACAATATTGATATTGGACTAATAAATTTGGAAAGAATGCTAATAACTAACTAACATCTTTGCAACGAACATATGGGCACTGTTATAATATCCTATATCCGAAAACAGTCCAACAATGTATATTAATCAAATGTTTAAAATCAAATTTTCAAGCACAGAATTTTAATTTTTTAGCTATTCTCTCAGTTTTGTTTTCTAAAAGTGATAAAAGCACATGGATTGTTCGCACTGTCAACACATGTTATTGTTTAATTCAATCAGTTTAAGCGTATTTTTTGGAAGTTTATAGTACATACGTCAAACAAATACGCTTAGTTATATAAAACATTTTTGACAACAATTATATGATATAGGATAGGGCAGGAAACAAAGATCTAATTTAACTTTGAGTAATTATTTTGTGAAAACCGAAGCATATATATTACAACAAAATACACATGCCAAACAAACATCTATCTGACTACGTTTAGTAATACTTCCAGCTATACAAAAATTCATTATTTCTAACTTACCAACAACTTATACATATTTTTGAAATTGGTGTTATACTCATAAAAATAGAAATAAAAAATGTGTACTTTGCTGAAACATCTGTGAATAAGTTATGAATATAGAGATTCTGTGAAATTGGATATTTAAAAATATACAAAAAATATCAAAACTTTACAATATATATATCAATTTTTTTATATATTCAACTTTTTTCTCCGTTTTACTTTAAAAATAAAACAAATTTCTTAGCGCAAAATATGTAAAATGCTTAATTAATATAATTACACACATACTACACACAGATTTAATCCATTATTCAATGGATGTATGGGTACTACACGCACTAAGCTTTTGTTTATTCAATGGTATGCTAAATGATTAGAAATTTATTAGTATTGATATAAAATAGTTTGTAATTTATATATCTTTTCAATAAATAATTTTCAAATTTTATTAATTATCTTACAACTGCTCAAGATCTAATAAACGTAATCAGAAATAAAAATAACAGTATCTTTTATATTTGGTATGCGATAAAAAACACAAATTGTTCAATTTAAATTCGTATTCTTCCAGCGACCTTTACCTTTGCAGCGTTCACACACAAGTATACAATTCGGTATTAAAATATTAAATGTCTACCTTTTCATACAATAATTCAGAAGTTGAACGTTTGAATACATAAGCATCTCGAAAACGTCACACAATATACCTGAAAGTCGTCTTTCTATGCACGTTTCTGAATATAATATTAATATATACCAAATGTCTGGCGGAGATAAAAAAGATGGGCACATCTAAAGTTTCATTTAAACCCCGACGAGGCATCTGTATTCATGAGTCTTGGAAGTCGAAAGACATCAGACATCAGACATCATACGTGTACGTGCATTGTTCGCTTATCTCATCGAAAAATTGATGGTTTTTCTTTACCAATTTATGGCTGATAAATCATCCTTCCTAAAACACGATGTCATGGAACACTTACCAGAATTATGTTTAGAAACTCCCTTACTCAGATGAGTGGATTTTTTATTATAATACAAAGACAAGTTTGCGACGATAAAACCATGTATGATACACAGTGCAACACATCGTAATTTTGTGTTTCTTTGAAATTAAGTCATTTTAATCACTTATTCAAAATATAGGACACTGATTTGTATTTTGGCTTTAAGTATAACTATTAAGCTTGGCAAACCAAATAAACTACATCATAACATACAACACATATTGAACAAACAACTATCGAACTATGTTCAGTAAAATTCCTAATTAATTCCTCAGTATAGAAATGTGTGTTATTACTATTTTTCTAAAATTAATGAAATTTGTCGTCTATCTCTTTTTACCCCATAAGCGGTGTAAAATGAGATAGCCAGGGGGCAAACAGAGGCTTTATTTTTAATTTTAAAAGGATTTTACAAAATAATAGCTACATCATTTATTTAATGCAATATAAATTTTGTATAAAATTTTGGTTTATACTGAGATAACACTGTAGATAAACTTAATCTGGTAATTGGTAATTTCGTCAGAATATTCATCATTAGAGTTGCAATACTTAATTATTTATTTATATCACGTAAAATTGTTTTTTTGAACTTAATTTACTTTTTCATTTACTATTTTATATTCTAATTTTAACCAGGGTAAAATTTCCGTTGGTCTTTTCTATCCCACAC